AGAACAACTCTTTAATGAAACCAGGATGATGAATTATAACATTTAATTTCCCTCTGGGATTAATAGTCTTTTTGTAATTTGATTTGTATATATGTATACAATGTATGTATATTTATATATATATTACGTACATTACATAATAACCTACATTTGATTTGACATTTAACAACTCTTTCAGAGCTTATGTTTACCACGCAGCTCTTTAAATAAAGCTGTCGCAAATTATCTTCATGATTGAAGTGCTGTTTAGCAATATTAAGTTAGTGCTCCTTTGTACCACAGTGAAAGTCGTGGAGAGAATTTTTGACCTTGGGCGAAAAAGACACAGAAGCTGCTGGATCCACAAGATGGACATCATGGCCGAGGTGTTTGACGTGCAATGACTGAAAACCTCCTGAATGAGGATGATTGTAAACGTAGATTACACAATTCCTACACCTTTTTAACTCCACTGCAATGTTCATTTACAATACATGGACATTCTGTATTATGGTTACGTTTTTCAGTACTCATTACAGATAAAACCGAAAAAATGCATAAATAAAAATACTGGACTTTATTTGTAACTGAAGATGTATCACTTCTCATCGGAGGCTCTTTCTCAATTTAATGAAACGAGGAGTGTGATTCAAGTTATAAAGCTGTGGTGTGCCGTAAGCTTGTATTATGGAGACTGGTGCATGCAGATCAATCTCCAGCAAGCTTACAGAACACCACAGCTTTATAACTTTAATCCCATATTCCTTTTTTCATTGAATTGAGTGCTCCTCGGATGATTAGCGAAACGTCTTCAGTTTTAAAAAAAGTCCTGTGGTTTTGTTTTTATCTTTTTGGGGGGGGATTTGCCGTGTCAAGGAAAACTGAGAATCTTCACCAGCATTGTTACAGGTAAAAAACAATTACTTCACTTATCCTACACTATTGACGTAAAAAAAACACTGTAAGCACTTCACTTTGATGATCAGATGGAAGCTCAAGACTTGAAAATGTTTCTTTTATTAGAAATAAAGACCTGTACAAAAAAATAATAATTATACACTAATTATATATGCAAACTTAACAAGCTACATGTTTGGCTATTTGTGGGCTTACCTTGCAGGATCTACATTTCTATATATCAACTATGATCTACTCTAAATATTTTTAAACATGTCTGTTTGCCATGGAACGGGCAATGGATTCCAGCACCCCAAGGAGTGCCTGATTGAAAGCAGCACTCTGTTCAGCCTCCTGCCTTTGCTGTGCTGCTTCCTCTCTCCTTAAGGCCATCTCCTCCCTCCTAATTGATTTCTCCTGCTTCCTCACTGCTGCAGCTTGGCATTGCCTCTCCGCAGCTTCTTCTTGCCTTGCTTTTTTGGCATCCTCACAAATAAAATGGAAGTGTTCCTCTCTCTGCTTCCGGTTCATCTCCTCTTGTTCAGTATGCGCAGAAACAAAGCTCTCTGCTGCACTTGTTGATCTGCGCTTTCTATTGCCTATGAATAACACACAAGAAAATGGCTGTTAGATGATGAAGTACAGGTAGAGTTTTTAAAAAAATTATTTAAATTAAAGTTCCTGCTAATTTCAAAAGGTGTTTGTTCACAAGATCAGAAATGATTCTGTTCATAAAGCAGTCTAGTACTTTAATGATAGTAAGCAGGTGGGCATAAATAAACTACATGTAGTCATTTACAACGGTTTGTGCTATTTAGAAAAAGAACAGAGCATCGTTAATCTGATCAAAAATCACTACACCCTGTATAATTTCAATAATAAACTTCATAAATGAAAGTTTAAGTAATAAATGAATAATTAAATTTAACATTTATACATTACAACTGAATAAACAAGTAGTTTGAATACATGCAAGGTGTTTTACAACAAAAACAAAACAACATTCATATCAACATGATCAATGTGATGTCAAACACGATTGTTGCTTCTTACCTAGTAACGGGTGCTGTTTGGTGCCGCTCTGCTGCGTGTTGCCCGGTGGCCTGGATGTGCCCGGTGGCGTGCATGTGCCCGGTGGCGTGGATGTACTTGGAGCTGGTGTGGTCGGGAAGGGTCAGAAGCGGGGAGGATTGGACGGTCAAAAGCAGAATCTGGCGAACCTTCATCTTCAGTGGGACTTTCTGCATCAAAATAAGAGTGGAAAAACAGCAACAGAGTACAGTTAGCAATGATGCTAACTAATGACGACGTAACCGTGTCAGCCTCGTTTGTTCAGAGTACTTTCAGAAAACGCAAAGAAACGGTTGCATGAGGAAAAGGAAATATGCTTAAAGTAAATAAAATACACTCACCATCAGCTATATATTCCAGAAGAGCAGTGACCGTGTCTAGGCCACTCTCCCTCCCTTTGCTGGCTGGGCGTTTGCGGTAAATGGCATCCATTTGTACAAACCACTTCCAGTTTCTTCTGTTTGCTCCACTCCTACCGTTGTGGTCCTTAATCGTTTTGTAATCGCTTTTTAGTTTTTTAAGCTTTCCTCTTTGCTTTGGTGTGCGATGATAGCCCTTCACCGCCATCTGCGCAGACACCTCTTGAAAAATCTTTTCATTTCGTTTCGTTCCATCTAGCTCGCTCTGCACTTGTTCATCGGCCAGCAAACAGAGAAATGCCTGAACTTCAGCATTCGACCGGTTGTGCCATGATTATTTGTTTTACCTTATAAAATATTCCAAAATAAGCTCCTCCGATTTCTTGTTGTCTGTTATGCGGGTGAAAAAGAAAATGGTGGATTGTGATTTCCGGTGGAAGACTGAATCTCCGCCCTCCACCAATGAATACGCCCCCTGACCAATCAGTGACCTACAGTGCGCTGATGTCACATCTAGACCCTACAAGAACCAGACCTGGGACCTCAGAGATTTAGGTCCCAAAAATGGGGTGGGTTCCACCGCTAAAGGCATTGTTGATAAAACACGCAATCGGCCACAACTAGTTACATAGGAGTACCAAAAAGCCCCGTGGATAAGGGGCTTTAGTAACCTTTCCCATTCTCTTATAAAAACTTCAGTGCCCCCCTCACCCCTGGTCGACAAATTCACTCACGAGATGAGCAAGTGGCAAGTTAACTAGGGGGAACACTGCATTTCATATGCTCTTAAACACTTTGACTATCGTGATGAAGACGTTGACAATGAGATGAATGTACAGTACTGCACAGTGAGTACAGTACACACAATATAAAAAAACTGGGTTTAAAAAACCCATGTTATAACCAGGAAGCTGCATGTCATGATAACGCTGGAATTAATACGTTTTAGGTCTTTAATGATGTAGTGGACTAGGCCTGATGTCGAAACCTTGACCTTAGGCACCTTGTGGGACAGAAACTGTCATTTCATTGATTTGAATCCAGAAATACAGGTTCACCCATCCTGAGACTTCAAGGAACATCAGCTTGTCATTAAGGTCTGCACAAATCTGTTAATGACACAGTCATTTTTGTAAAGGTGTGTTGAAGCAGGCAAACAACCAAAACAGGAAGGGCAGCTGCCCTTGAGGACCAAAACTGCCCTGCCCTTGACTAGTGTATGATTTGTGAATCAACTTTTAACACTGATCTTTGCCTACAGGAGACTGACCCAGAAGAAGAAGCAACTGAGGGTGTGACTGTGGGCATACTGTTTGTTCTAGAGGATTGTGACACAGCAGTGACTTCTACATCAGTGCAGAGCAATGCTGTTATTCTGGAGAAAGCAGTAGTTCTTGAT